ATATATATATATATATAATGCCACTGTTACTATTGTTACTTCAATAAAATAATACCTTTTTTCATTTTTTTTCATAGCCAGTAGAAATATTCATGACCAGTACATTTTCTCAATTCAACCACCATTGACAGGTGTGGCAGAAAGTTAATTTTGGACTCTACTCACATGTCATTACTGTGTGGCACAGGGGGAGCTGGTGAGGTCACATGATCAAAACAGCTATCCAAAGGCTGTTTCTAATATACTCTAGAACTGTAAACTGTACCACTATATTATTACTCAAAACAGACCTCAACACCTATCAGAAAACAAACTTTCATTTATAGGTAAAGGATGTTTTTTTTAATTATTTGAAATAAAACAAATGCACACATTTTGGAAAAAAAATATAGAACTATATCCAAGTGTTTGAATGTCCTGAATATAATTTAACAAAAATTAGAATAGTATTGATACTTTGTGATTCCCTTTAACATTCAATCAAAGTGGATAGACATTTTAACCACTGTAAAAATAAATATTTGATATGAAACATGGAAGCTCAACTATGAAAATCCTATGAAAATATTATTTACTGAAATAATATAAAACATTAATTAATTGGATTGTACAGCAAAACTATGTGTACTAAATACACTTAGCATACAGGACTCCATCCCTACTCGCAGTTCAGTGTGAAAGAAACTGATCTTCAATGTCATATTTAATTATATTTGAAATGGCTTTTATCTTGAAAAGAAAAAAAATCAGCATAAACCCATTTGTAAAACATGCAAGAGAAAACAGCTGGTGGCCTCCTCCAAAGAGAATTTTGACTGAAAGTTAGTGTACAAAAATAAAATAATAAAAAAAAAACATTGAAATTAATAAAGCAGCCTTCTCTCAATCTGCGGCAGCAAGAAGTCTGATACATCCCACTCTTTCATCTGAGATCACAAGGTAGAAATGAAAAGCTGAAACACAGACAGAATTCAACGTGAAAGGTGAATGTGAAAAGGACAAACTGTTGTCTGTTCCTGTCGACATTTCTATGGGTTTGGCACTGTCTTCACAGGAGACTAAAGCACATGAGACAAGTGCTGGCAGCAAAACAAACACACCCTGAATATCCTGGACGACCCTGACACCAAAAATTTCAGGCTAAACTTTCATCATCATACGTATGTGTACCAAGGTCAAGGCCAAGGTCCTTTTAGCAGCAGATGAGCAGGACTTTAGATCTGTCATGACTGTCTACCGTCTTCACCTGTGACAACACAAACACACACCCACGTGTGCGTCATTCTCTTCCCCCCTGCGGCAGAAGCTCTCTGGCTGTCACTCCTCATCACTCTTTTAAGCTGAAGCCCAAGAATTCACAAGAAGTCACAAATATAAGAAAGTTCTTTTTTTTCTTGAATGTGCCCTTAGGACTGTGTTTGGGTTATGTGGTGATGCATGCTCGTTCATACACTGTCCACTTAAAATCGTTTGCAATTTATTGTGCAAGTATTTTATTGCATATGGACACCTCTCCCTTGCCCTACCGAGCGTGAAATCCTCACTACAGGCAGTGGGTATATTTAGAGGTGAGGTAACACTTCAGGAGTACACTCAACTAAATGAATCCTCACCTTCCTAACACCACATGCACTTTAACTTCAATATAGTTCTATGGAAAGACACGCATTACTTTTTTTTAGGAAAAAACTAAACAAAAAACACAAACCTCAAAGCCCATTATCAAAAATTCATTCTGAAAGAGATTCCTATGATATTGTTCCTCTGTGTCATTATAGTTGTGGTGTGGACTTCTGTATTCTCTTAGAATTAAACAATTATTGAAACTTCACAGTTCTTCCTCAGCATGAATGTGCGAACTCTCACAAGTACTATTTTTTTTAGCAGCTGGCAAAAACATCCTGTTGTTCAATATTTTCTGTCTCAACACACACTCACCAACCCTCTACGGACAGTCCTAAGACAAGAACGCATTTTGGTTTTAGGTTTTAGGACAACAAATATATATAAAAGTTCAAAAGAGCGAACGCACACAACCTGATTAATATTCATGAATTCAGTAGTTCATTAATCCTTGGTGCGTTTTATATTGTTCTTATTAGTAGAATTCGTATCACTAAACTTATACTTAGCCTCCAACTCACACTGGCGAGTAAAATCTGAGAATTTATTAGCCATTGGCTAATATTAGACATCATTTAGTCGCCCAGAGTGAAGATTTAGTCGCATATGCGAGTGATTTACTCGCAATGTAGAGGGTTGCTCACACAAAAAGAGAATGATTCATGTGTCCAAGAGGCATCTCTCCTCCCATTAAGAAATACAGAGACCACAGCTCACCCTGTAATCACACACAACACAGCCAAAGAAGTAAAAATAGACTTTGTTTTTACTGGGCAAGGTTTGACTGGGAGGGGCGACAGCAGGGTCGGGAACTCAACACTGTCATCCCAAACCTTAAATCTGAGAAGATACAGACACATATACATAAACAGTTTATTGATTCTCAAGGGGAAATTTAGGAGGACTGTATATGCACAATAGACTTACGGCTAGAAAGACTAAAGACAGAAATACAGACAGACAGGAGAAAGAAACTATTATCGAAACAAAAGAGGCAACCAAAGGATTTTCTCAGATCTAGCCTTTAACTTGAATTGAACTAGCAAAACCACTTCAAACGAAGACAGATATAGCCTATGATTAGCAAGACAGACCAGCGTTTTAAACTCTCGCTTCACAGTAAAGTCTCAAATCGTTCCCACAAACAGCTGGTCATGGTTTCAAATTTGCGCCTGAGGAAAATTAAGATCTTAAATAAATAAAAAGAGATAAATTGCAGTACGGTTCTTATCAGATAAATGTATAGATCATAATATTAGAACTGGATAGACTTTCAAAACTGCCAAATATTATCCTTATATTGTAATCTTTACGATCACAAGCTGTAATCATTGCCTCAACTTATAGAAGGATAGCATAATTTTGTCTGAATACATGACTAATTACATGACATTATTATTTTATTATTATTATTATTAATAATAATAATTGTATTATTATTATCTTAGAGCTGTATATTTTGCCATATGGACATTACTTTGCTGCCAGCTGATGGGCTCCCCTTCATTAGTACAAAATTTCATCTCTTGAATCAGTCACATCTGGCTTTTTGATTGTAACATTTGAAACATGCATTTTCTATAGCAGTTTTAAAACAATACATGAAAAGGACTTGTGAATTTAAATGAATGATACTACATTTTTACATTAATTTATGATAGAATATATGAGAATATTGAACGTGATATACAAAAACATTTAATCCATTAAAATGCCTTTATTTACATGGCTCTTGACAAAAAGGTTCAAAACTCATTATATATTAGTAGGTATTTCTCATTAAATTCAGTGGCTTGATGATGCACTGGTTGGAAGTCGCTTGGAAAAAGCCCCACAAGTTAAGAAAACATTTACAATAATAAAATGGGATTTGATGATTATCTTTACAATAATGGTAAAGGTTTTCTTAATGGGTTCGTTTCAACGGCGCACTGCTGTACATCACTCTAGTGCGCACTGATCCACAGAAGATCATGTTAAAGACACGCTGCTGCTTTTCTAGTACACATTTGAAGTTAGTCGTGCATTGGTGTATAAACGGTGCCGAACGGAAGCGCTAGCGGTCATGTTCCGTGTATCATCCAGCATCAGTGCTGCATCCTCCAGCAGCCCACCGGGCCCCCACCCACCACCACAACACTAGCGGCTCCAATCCAGAGCGCACGACACGCCAAGACAAAAGACTGCTTCGCCGGCTGTTATCGCGGCCCGGTGATTACTAGATAGAGCTCATAAACAGAGCCGTGAGAAGGATTCAGAGAGAGTAGAGAAAGCCATATGTGGATTCAGAAAACTAGGCGGTGCGCGGAAGCACGCTAAACGTTATAAAATGGGTCTCAAGACCTCTCTAAACGCTCACAATTAGGTTACAGGGAAACGAAGGGAGGCGACACCGACCCCGAAACACAGCAGCAGCATCCTTAATGAACGAGTAATAACGTAACATAAACACACTCACGCGCCCTCAGTTACTGACGGTCACATTTTAAAACACACAAGCACGCACTTCGACGCGTTAATATTACAGCTACTTACATGTATGCTGGCGAGAGTGGAGAGGACCTGGACGTTTTAAGGACGGGCACGGGAAATTTCCAGCTGACGGGCGAACCGCTTTTCCATTTCAACGGCATGTTTTTCCAGTCAGCACCTCTGAGATACAGCGCGAATGAGAATAGCCGTCAAGAGCGAGTCCATGAAGAGGCGACCAGCGCGGGCTTCCATCCCCGACAGCCCTCACCGAGAGCAGGGAAGAGGAAGAGGAAAATAAAGAGGAGGATCGACCGCCGACACAGGCAGCTCTGTTTGAGGCAGCTCTGTCTGAATACCGCAGAGAAGGTTGGCGGAAAATCGAGAGGAATAACACTTAAGCCTGAGCCGAGAGGTGAAAAGCAGGTGTGCCTGAGCCGAGCATCATCTCCTGAGAAAGAGAGAGGGATGATGATGATGATGATGGAGGGGAGGAAAAAATAGGCACCGTCGCGTCCAGTCAGTGCAAGGAAGAGGCATGCGCGGTCGGTGCACTGGATGTTCAGCTATAGTGCCACCTTGTTTGAATGCAGGCTGAGTATGGCAAGCTTTGTTAACATTTATTCACTTATCTACTATCTATTGTAGGCAGGGCCTAAAATTAACACTCGCCAAGCACCAAATGCGAGTAAAAATAGGCATTGGCGAGTATGTAACAGTGTCAGTCGCCAGTTGGCGGGTAAAACTTTTACGAAATATAACAATGCAATGTAGTGAGAACAACAGCCAGTTTTTAAAGAGATTCGCTGTTTCTGACCCAAGCGAATAAAATAATCTTTTCCTGCTGCTAATCTTTTCCATTCTGACTAGACATTAGATATGATAATTTACAAAACAATTATAGTAAAATATATATTACTAAAAAACTAGGAAATATGTACATCTATCATGTACAGATACCAGTATCTATGGAAAAACTATTGGAATAGTTACTGGTAACTAAGTCCCAATAACAAATGGAAAATATACTAGTCAGAACTAAGTTGATATGTGAACACAGATTATTTCACAGTTACTATTAGGAAAATGAGTGTTAACATGCTAATAGGATCTAGTGTGTAATCAATATTTACAAGTATCTATTAATAATTAATATTTACAAGTGAATAATTTATAGTCACTATCAGAATAAGTACTATTATCAGATGTATAGTAACTAGTGAAAACTGAAAATAACTTATTTAGTTAATTAATATTAATTAAGAAAAAAGTAATAGTAAAAAAAAGATTTGCTAGTTAGTTTTAAGTACAGAAAAAATGTTAAACTGGCTTGCCATAGCTGACTGCAGAGCGCTAGTGAGTGAGAGAGAGTCTCAGAGCTCAGATAAGAGTTTAATGACCTGGCATAAAATACAACACACAACTGCAGGCACAAGAAATATAAAACCTAAGTATGATTCTATTGAACATTAAAGAACATCACTTCTGTTCCTCTGTGTTGTATAATAGTGAAGAATTCCCCTCTGATGTCCATTATGAGAGACAGGTCTTTTCAAAACATCTCTCTAGCTAGGCGGCGCAAGCAGGGCACAAACTCCACCGCGGGGCTCTTCACCCACTGTCGTGACAGCACATGTCAAAGAGGAGACAGAGGGAAAGAAAGAGCTACCACATTCGTTTCTGCGATTATGTCCGTCTTCATTTAAAGTGCTGACAAAAAGTCAGAGTAGATGTCCTTTAACTTATTCAATTGCTTTCTGGATGTGCTACAATGTTTAAAAACGTGACCAAGTGCGCCTCACATTGGGTCCAATGTAAATTAATTTTGCATTTAAATAAGACACTATCAACAAACAACCAAATGTTATAAACGTTAAAACTACGGCTTAAAAGAAATTGTGGTCAGCTATTCCTTTTATTCAGCAAGGATGCATTAAATTAATCTAAAGTGACAGTAAATTGTTGAAAAATATTTTCAAATAAATGCTAATTTTGAGCTTTTTATTCATCAAAGACAGTAATTATTGTTGTACAGCATGAAAAAAAAAATGTATTTAAATTTTAATAAATATATTTATGTGTGCATGCCCAGTAGCCGCAGCTGTATCCCAACCACAAATCAGACTCGAGAGTAGATTAACTTTAGAGGACTTAAACTTTAAAAATGGTGTGGTCCGTGGTTAAAATAAAATGCGTTCTGATGTTCATTCATGTTCATTTCGTGCTTTAAGTAAATATGAAAAGACAATCGATTCACGTGCCCCTTTAACTGAGGCAATACAGTCATCTGTCAATAAAGACCCACAAAACGGTATTTATTGTTTGAATTTCTTTAATAATTACAAAATTTGAAAGCTGAGAGTCCTGAGACCTGGTTTCATACCAGAAGTAACCTGCTCTGTCTTGTCTGTCGGTGTGTTGCCAGTTTCCTCTTTGCTCTGCGATGTATTTTTTTTACTGCGTGAGAACATGATGTGTAGTGTGAGAGCGGCATTGTTTATTGGAGATAGCAACAGTTAACTAAGGAGGGCAGGTTTTTGTGAATGGTCAATTTAGTTGGTTTATTTTCATTGCAACCATGTACAATTAAACAATGTTATTTCAGTTTCACCCGGAAATTAAAGATACGACAGGCGGTTAGGTTAACATGTGCGATAAGTAATATCATCTAACCACTAGCTTATGTAACTAAAGACAGACAGATGCCCAATACTCACCCAAAAGGATGGTACAGTCATTGCTGGCAACCATTCTAAATATCTATCTACTCAAAACATCTATGACCATATTTTGATCTGTTTGAGAAGGAGTCTGGCACTTATTTATACTCACACTGCAATGCAAACTGAATTATGTATATGGAAACACAGGGGAGAAGTAACACATACATACACAACAAAGAGTTTCAAAGTTCACACAAGGCCTGCTATGGATCTTATAAGCTGAGCTTAGAAATAGAGAGATCATCAGAGGCAATCTGTGAGTTAATTCTACTTGTGTCTCAATAGCACAAGTCAGTTAACAATACTAAAGCAATCTTCTTCAAAATTCACGTGTGTACCAGACAGCAGGTGAGATGCGTTCAACCAAAGTAATCACACCACAATGATCAAACAGCAAGAGATATAAACCGCATTTTAAAAGGACAGACAGCGCCTCTAGCTGTAAGCCTATGGAAGCATATGTGTAGCATAATTCAATTTGAAATGTAATATGCAACATAGCAATGCAGTATGTAAAATGGCAATGTATTTCTGTATTTAAATTAACATTTTCCCATACATATGTGCAACATTTAGTGCAAAATGAAAATGAAAATTCAATTATATAATTAAATTTGTTTCATTTCCTACACTTGTTTTAATATGCAATGAAAAACATATTTTAAAGCTTTAGAAGTTGCAAAATTAAAATGTATTACCCAAATTGATTAGATATGTTTAACATGTCCAAGCAAAAACTGTAGCAAAATTATCATGAGAATTTTGAGAATTTCAGAATGCATTCTGAGCCAAAGGTGCAGCAAACGGGTAGCAAAATGGTGATTTAAATGTCTTTTATTTTTCTTAAATACATTGACACTTACATATATGACGAGCCGAGCACGCCCCCTACCTGACAATCATTACATCAAGGCGGGGCTCGACAGCAGGACGCACAATAGGTCAATATTCACCCGTTCACCGTTAACCAAACGCTTTTTACCTGCCTGAACATCTCTCACCGTTTACACTCCGACTGATGCACATAGCAAAAAGACAGTGCTATTCTACACTTATTTACCTATTTGCCACCTTACACCATGGCTACACCGGACGCGACATCTGTCGTGTCGCATCACGCCGCATCCATTGTAGACAGCATCACTGATTATTAGGGCTGTCAAAAAAATGTGAATTTCGAATATTCTTAGAATTTACAATAAAAATTCACATTCGAATGCAAAAACGTTGCATTCTAATTTTAGGTGTGCATTAAGGAGGCAGCCTTATCAGTGGCGCACGAGATGCGATGACGATGTAAGTGTCGTTGCATTATAATGTTTTTGTTAGTCTATCCAGTTGAAGCCATAGATGCGGCGCTGCTGCGTTGTTCATTAAACAAATATTGCGGGAAAAGAGAACATCAATGCGGAGAAGATCTTGTTTACATCAAAACTGAAACCAAGCCGTTCACACAGAACACATATTTTGCGCATTTTCTAGAGGGACATCTATCACCGTTGCACTCGTATCTCGCACAAAGGAGCCGCATGTTTAGAAAGCCATGTAAAATTAATGATTAATTAAATTTTAACTTTGAAAAAAACATATAATCAAGGTTTTTTTTCCCCATCCCACTGCATCTCAGGTTTTTAAATGAAAAATGTACTCTGTGTGATTGGCTTTCTGCCATTTGTATTAAACTATGCATACATACATGATGCTGTTTTGTTTATAGTTGTTTAAGCAACTTAATTATAAACATTATTTTAAACATTATGCACTTTTTTCACAGATAGTCATGTTATCTTATGCTTTGAATAAACGTGCATTAGTAATATTTTGCTCGATGCGCCCTCTTGTGGCCTCAGAAGAGAAGCCAAAAGCTTTTCTTCACCCTAACTGAAATTATGCATTTTAAATTGCATTTTCTTTCAGAATCATCATTCGCTGATGGAGAGGAAAAGTTAGATACTATAGAATTTTATTTTATGAAAATTAGATAAAGAAGTTTTCGCACTGAAAGTGATCTCGCGCTCATAGAACTTAAGACATGCCAGGCTATATCTGCAGCTAATCTGAATAAAAAGCAGAATGAACTGAAACGTTAAAACAATAAACACAATAAATAAAATTTATGAATGATGCAGTGCTAATTGACATCATTTATTACAGTACAGAAACTATAAAGTATATTTTCTACCTTATTCTGTGCAGAAAATTGAAATAATTGTTTGTAGTATAAACAATCATAAAATTGCCATTAGAAAAAATAAATAAATTACAAATGATTGATTATTGTCCAGCAGTGTATTTGATTTCTTGTAGCAAATTCAAAGTAAGAGATAAGAAAATAATTATACATAATAATACTTCTGTCACTTCTGAAATGATGGCTACACCCCTGGTGTGACAAAATGTTAGCCTATACACAATACTTTTAAAGCTCTTTTTTTAAATCTTGGCTTACATAAATTAATACATATGCCATGTCATGCCATAGCATCATTAAACTAGCATATAATAACAAAAGTTTTTTTTTTTCTGTAACCTATGGTTCTCTTACCATAAAGGCTGCTGTGTAATTTGCCCCCTTACTAAGCATTTAAAGAATTTAAGGGAAGCATTTAAATAATCCTGTGAATGCACTTAAAGAATGCAGAATCAAATCGTTAATCGAATTTAATCGAATTTAATCGTGAATCGAATTGAATAGTTCTGAATTTGCAAAAATCGTTCTTGAATCGAATCGAAAACCTATGAATCGTGAATCGAATCGATTAGCTGTCTACCCAAAGATTCACAGCCCTAGTAAATAAGTGTATAATAGCACTGTCTGTTTGCTTACGTGCATCAATCGGAGTGTAAACTGTGAGAGATGTTCAGGCA